CAGAAAGGCAGAAGCCACATCTCACAGGGTCACTCAGGGAAGGCCTCACAGAGAAGGTGGTATTTGATCTGGAACTTGAAAAGTGGGTAGGATGTGGGTGGATTGATATGATAGCCTTGAGGCTGGAAAAGGCCACCATGTGGGTGGAATAGTATAAACAAAGGCAGAGGCTCTGGAAACTATAGAAAATAAGTGGTTTAATTTGGTATTTCATGTAGGGAAATATAAGGATAAAGTCAGAAATAGCAAAGGAATGTTAGGTGGGAGCCAGGTTAACAAAAACCTTGAATGAGGTTATATGTAATTGAATGGGCAATGGGGAGCCAGTGCAGTGATTTTTTTAAGCAGAAATATAGAAAGAACAATCTGGTAGTGATGGATAGTAATGGTTTAGTTGAAGGAGTGTAAGTCAATCTGGATGGCTACTCTAATAACCTGTGATGGAAGCAATGAGAGTACGAACTGGGGTGAGGCCATGTGGGCATGTGGGCATCTGGGGTATTTTAGATATTTAATCCATACATGCTTGATACTATATAGAGGGGACAAGATGTGGAAGAATAAAAAATGATTCCAGAAAGGTGAGCTTGTCTGAATTAAAGAACAGAGAGAAGTCAGGAAATAGCACATTTGGGAATTTGAAAAGTTGAAAGGAAGCTGGAAACAGCCTAGGACATTCTAAATGGGGGTGCTGGGAAGATGGATAAATAGAGATCTGAGCCAGCAATGTAAATACAGGACTGGGGATTCAGAACAAAATCAAAACCATGGACAGCTGAGGAGACTGGGATGAGCATCAGTCACCAGAAGAGAAAGCAGAGGAAGAGGAAGGTGCATAAATGGCAGTGCTGCTCATTTTCCAGGGACACTAAGCTAGAGAGACTGAGTCTGTCTTCTCTCAAATTATAAATAATACAACAGCATTGGGATTTTGTTCACTTTTGGTACGTTTAAAGGTACTGGTTAAGCATTTTTGAAACAAAAATCTCAAAACTCAAGCTCAAAAGCTCCAAGCTCTCACCCCTTGTCAGCTTTCTGAAGTGAAGTGGCCACTGTGACGATGTTCTCAAGATCCTGACTCCTTCATACAATGAAAAATAAACACAAAGTCAGTGACAGTAGAGCTATCTTTGAAGTAGCTAAAATTTCTTACCTGTTCTCAGTGAAGAAAGTAATCGTCCATGTGTTGTTCAGAAATTATGAGTTTAACTGAATAACAAAATAGTTCTATCATATCAACATGCAAACAAACACACACACACACACACAGCACACGCACACACGCACATGCCAGTCACTCCACTTGGGCATTGGCTCTGCCATCTAGTGCTCACTGAAATAACTACAGTGTCTCCCAAAGACTTGTATCAGCTGCTCTCAACTTACATACTTAAAAAAGGATATGGAAAAGAAAATTTCATTAACTGCACAAGTAAACACAGAGTATATTCAGAATTTTTTCTACCAACCAGGGAACATCAAGCAACATATACAGATGATTAATTAGTCCCTTATATGAGGTGAAAGTATCTGTCTTCTTAGGTTTCCAAAAAAGAAAGTACATTTAAAACCGTAGACACAATAATGGGCTTGAATCCATACTGGCCTCCCTAGATAATGAAAAGAAATAATTCTGGAGGTCCTTAGAGGTTTACCTGTAGTTAAGACCTGTGGTTCATGAGCAATATCTTATAGGAGGTTAATAGAGTTCCATGAAAAAAATAATGTTGTAGTCAAGTACATTGGGGAAACATAACTGACTTTTAGAGATTTGGAATGCATATAAGTGCACTGAAGGTGCTGGTGGTAGAGAAGTCTGTTTCTCCTAAGTGTGCTCTTTCGCAGAACATGCATTGACATCTTGTGGCACCTGGGACACAGTTTGGGAAATGCTGTGATAGACCTGCACTTTGTTACTAGGTACAAAAGAAAGATGGCTCTCCCCTCCCCAAAGGTAAGGTGTCTGTGTGATATACGTTTAAAACTGGGACTCTTCAGATAGTCAAGGGAGATCATAAAAAAGGAAAAGTGTGTAAGTTTTGCACTTGGAAAATGTTTTCAGTCAAAAATTGGTTTATCACAATGGTTAAGATGGTAAATTTAAGGTTACCTTTTTAATTATAATTTTTAAAAAATTGGTTTATCATATTGACAGATCTATGAAATAATACTGTTCAAAAGCAAATTTCAAAAACAGTATTTTTTCCTAATAAATAAATGAATCCCAAGCAAATACTTAAATGAGATGGGATACAGAAGACAACAGCATAAATGAGGACTGTCATGGGGAAATTTACTCAAAAACATCAATAAAATTTGTAAGCTTTTTTCTGATGGTGCAGGCAGAGCTGAATTTGACCTTATCACTCAGCCAATTCTGGGTAAAGCTTTTGAAGAAGTTCAATCAAGTGACTATATTTCCGCCTATTCATTTATACATCAACACCAACTACATCACAGCTCTTGGAATAAGTGCTGGGAATAAAGAGACGTTTTCCTGTCTTAAGGGGTTTGATCTTATTCTGTCATCATGTTCAGACAATTTTGGTTGTTCTTAATGTAATGCTTGGAACAGAAATAAAAGGAATAAAATTCTGTAGATACACATAAAAATATTTATTACCCACTATACTGAAGTCAATTGGAAAACTGATTTTGTCCATTTTATTATTAATCTTATGTATCTTTAAGTGTTCCAATAAAGTATACTTTATCTTTTCTATAATTACATAGATATAGATCATTGTACCTCATACTTCTTTCGGTAGATCTGTTGGTTTGTGTATGTACGCGTGGTTTAGGTGGACATATCTGCTTATATTTTTAAAGTTAAAAGATAATGTCTGTTAGGTAAGAAAATATTCCTCTGTTAAATTTAAATTTATAAGAAAACATTTACATTAAAAAAATCAGTGTTTTAGAACAATAGCACTACTTGAGATAAAAGACTTCAAACTACGTTTATCTTCATTTTATTTTAGCTACCAGTCATCAGTAAAGCATTTATCTCTATTAGATAAACACAATGTTTTTAAATATTAAGAACATTTTTTGTTAGGCATCAGAAGGATGTTTTTTTCTTAAAGACGTATCTCATTTGAACCCTATCAAGAAATATACTTGCTCAGATAAGACAGGAAACATTTTCATATTTCCAGCACACCCTCCACACTGAGAACGACCACATTGTGTTGATAGAATTAAATTGTACAAGGTTAGGTTCTGTTACCAGTTGTGATATAAGGCTTTTCTCTGATCTTTTTCTAAATATCTGGTTGACCTACTTATACATTCTTGCTTGTTCTCAAGAAACTATATTCAACTATTTTTTGTACTCCTGAGGACATATGTTAATTACATAGAAAACACTTCCCTTTCATATTCTTTCATTAAAATCATCTTGCTGTGATTAAACTAATCAGGGTTTAAAACATGCAAGTTGTCCTCATTTTATATTTAAGATAATTCGTGAAAGAAAGAAATTGGAGTAGTAAAAATGGATTAAACCAATTCCCATGAAATTTAGCTTCTTTTGAATCTATAAGAGCTCACTGCTGTATAGTTGCTAGTTTTAGATTAGAATTTAGGTGGTACTAACACCAATTTTTTTAGCCCCCTAACAAAATTCTATTCAAATTAAGATTTAATTGCTTAACACTATAAAAGTAAAAGGAGAAATAATGTAAGATAGAAAGGCCTGAGAAGTTATTTTTAAGAGTAGTAATTATAGCCACTGCACAAATAAAAAGTCATAAATCTGGCTTATATTTTTAATTAATTCAATGAAGACGTATTCTCTTAACATTAAAAAAAAAAAGTTAGCCTCTTCTCCTAAGGACAAAATTTCAAAGATACTGTAAAGTTTCACTCAGCAGAAATTCAGACCTGGCTTTTTAACTCATTAGGTTGAACGCCCAGAGCTTCACAGCCCTGCCACCCAATCAGCATTTTCAAGCTGAAGTTACCCTCTTAATGAAGAATAGCTCTGGAATTGTCTTACATGTGGTCAAAAAAAAGTCACCACCAAAAAGTAAAAATACAAAAGAATCAAAGGCAGGCCATCAAGCGGACCTCATGTTTTCAGCCTTCATTGAGATACCATTCTTTACATCCTTCAATAACAAGGGAAATGTGCCGTGTACCTCTTGAAAGACAGTTCGAGATTATTAAACAGTTTGACAGGAACACAAGGAAGATTTTCAGATCTCTGATTTTGTTTCCAAGTATTAATCGTAGAGTATTGGAAATTCCAAGTGGAAATGCAAGGCTGTCTCTTTTCTTGATTCAGAGACAAGTGAATTAGAACATTTGTCAAATTTTGTGATAGGTTTGAAATACATTACAAGTGCCTCTATTAAGACAAGACTAAAGAACTACCCAAAGGTATTTCTAACATAAGGGAGGGGCTGAGCGGTAACACTAAGTTTCAAGAATATCTTTTAACAGAAAATGTAGCTCTTCATAGGAATCTTAACTAGGAGTAAATATAAACCATAAACACATACATAGTTTCTATTTATATTACATATATGTCAAGTACACATATGTATACATGTATATTTATATATGGGGGGGGTTCCTTATACATTGGTTCTTAACACATAAATTGGAGGAAGCCCGACATGGAACACTTCCCAGACATGGCTATTGCTCAGTTTCTATCTTGAAGGTGTATTTCTATAAGACAATTCATGGCCATGTGCATCCAAAGGCCAACATCAATACACATTTGTGTGGGCAAACAGAATTAGAAAAGCTTTCCAAGTGCTTCTTCGGTGAGTGTGCACACAAAACATACCCACGCTTTGCACAAAACAAGTCACAAGTCATTTGCTTTCATTCCCTTGAACTTCTTCATTTTGCAATACATTCTGGAGTGCTAAGTCTTACCTGTTATCCTGCCTCAGCTGGTTAGGAGATGAAACAAGAGAACTGGGTTTGGGAGGTATTGGAGGGTGAACAGTTGGTTCCCTTTGAAACAGAAAGCAGCAGTTCATTTCACCATGGAAACATGGTAAATTTTAGCATCTATTCACCAAATGCATTTATTGTCTGGAAGGAAACATTTAATGTGTGTTACAATCCCCATGCATGAGCTACCTGAAAGGCCAGGATCTCTGCTGCACTAAACTTCAAAGAAGTCAAATACTTAAATTACAGGTACTTTAAAGGTTCATTTAATGAGATTTTTCAAAACTCTGTCCTCTATCGTTTGAAACATAATGTGTTCTTTAAACAGCTTAATATTTTACTAGACCACATCACCCAAGTTATGACATTTGGGGTCCACAGCACATGAGCATAATAAATGGTTCTTGGGCATCAACATATAAGCTTCTTTAGGAATTATGTCAACTATCAGGTTGCTATGGAAACAGGAAGAAAGGTTTTCAATTCCACAGACCTCAAGGTAAAGTTGATTTGAAGCTCTTAACTAATCTGACTTAAATATTGTCAGCACAGGCCAGTTGGACGCCAGCAAAGCACACATCCGCTGTCAGCCTAAACCCTGCAACAAAGTGCCAAGGCAGCCTCTAAGCTGGCATGATTTGCTCACCCAGGAACAGCAGATGGGCAATTATGGACATATTTGGGATGTTACTCCCCCACCACAACACTACCACCCCAGTGGTTCCCTGTTATCCTTGTGATCTAGACTCTCTGTACCCCTCTGGCTTCTGCAGCAGGCTAGCAAGCATGTGGGCTCTGGAGTCAGGCTGCCTGAATTGCCAGCTGTGTGACAATGAACTAAACTGATTCCATTTCTCCATCCATAATAACCCTTCCAATAGGATTGTTGGGGTGTTGTCAGGACTGAATGAAGTCATGCTTTTATTTAACAAACATTTATTAGTAGCTTTCTATGCACAAAGCACTCTACAGAGGGGATAGTTTCCCTGTTCTCAAAAGGCTTTCAATATACAAATACATGACAGACGAAGGAAAGTACTATGAAGAAAATTAAACAGAATAAGCGATTATAGAGCAATGGTGAGGGAACACCTGTCTGTGAGGTGCAACTTGAGCCAAGACATGAAGGAAGTGATAAGATGAGGCACGAGGACCTCAGAGGACGAGCACTGAAATCTGGGCATCATCAGCTTGGCGATGGCATCTAACATGTGAAACTGGATGAGATCACCTAGGAAGTCAGTGTCAGTAGAGACGAAAAGAGAGCCAATAGCTGACCCCTGAAACTTGCAACATTTAGATGTCAAGAATATGAGAAGAAACAGCAAAAAAGTCTGAAGACACGTGGCCAAGGAGAAAAGAAAAGAAACGTGAGGGTGTGGTTTCCTGGAAGTCAAGTGAGGAAACTGTTCCGAGGAAAGAGTAACTGACCATGTCAACTGCTACTGATATATCAAATAATACAAGGATGGGGAGTTACCATGGTTTTGGCAAATAAAGTGGTCATCAATAACCCTGATAAGAGCAGTTTTGATGGGGCAGTGGTGAAAAAAACTTATCGGAGTAGATTTAAGGCAAAATGGGAAGCAGAGGCATTGACGTAGATACTTCTCTTGCAGTGAAGATGGAAGAGAAAAAGGGGTACTACCTGAAGGTTGATGGGTCAAGGAAGGTTGCTAGAGTATGTAGATATGATTCTAGGAATGCTCCAGTGAAGAGAGTAAATTTGATGGTGCAGAGAAGTGAGCAGAAAATTGCTAGACTAGAGAAGCAAGGGGACCTAGGGCACAGGTGAGATGGTTGGTCTTGGATGGAAGAACAGAGAACTCACGCATTTAATCTTTACTTCAGTCCCAGAGGTACATGTTCTTCTTCCTGTTTTACAGATGAAAATACTGAGGCCCAGAAAGTGAAAATAAATGTCCCATGATGATCTATAGCTGGTAAGAAGCAGAGGGAAAAATCCAAACCAGGAAGTCTGGCTTTGTAAGCCCTCCCCAAGCTATGCTGTCTCTCAAGGGATCCTTATGCAACACCACCGGCTCAGGTGAGGTTAGTACTCGTGGAATTGACATAAGGCTAGTTGCCATTGTTTTCTCTCGCCACATTCAGCTGCTTCAGGGGCAGGAACAGACCACACAGAGAGTTGAATTTAACTAAGTTTATCCATGTGAGTGCAACAGAGAGAATGATGACATGGGATGGGGAGGGGTGTGCAAGGAAGGGATTACAGTGAGGGACCGTGGGATCTGAGATGGACATGGAGGGAAACGAGGATATGAGGGGAGAGGGGCTGTGAAAAGATGATGGAATCAATGGATTGGTGGTTGTGGAAGGGCTAGGGAATTTCTGGAATCAGAGGACTAGAGGGAATGAGCTGGATAGAGTAGATAGAAAGGGGGTAGATAGAAAACGGAAGCCAGAGAAAGAAAGCTTTGAAATGAAAATTTTGTAGTGTGGTAGTTAGTTATAAAAGCTAGATTTACGGGTGGCTGAGGTAGGGCAATGGACAAGGTCACTGGAGGGGAGATCACGAAAGTGAAAGGCCAGGATGGGGAAGGACCGCTACATGGATTTGGAAATCACCAAGCATTATGAAGCGGTGGGGGGGTGTCTGTGAGAGACAATGACCCCAGTGCCAAAGTGTCCACGGAGCGAGGGTGAGTGACTCAGAGACTTTCAGATGACTCCAGTGTGCAAAAGAAGCTCACGATGTCATGGCTTCAAGGAAGATGAGGAGTTATAGGGAGGAGGGAGTTAAAATTGATAGGAAGTAGCAACCAGGAGCAAACAGGACCCTCCTCTTCCTTCAAACCCTGTGATACATGAGATTAGAAGAGCAGCCTTCATTGAGGAGGTTGTGGGAGAAGGGTCCTCCGGGAGAACCCAACAAAGAGGTAAGAGATCACTCAGTCAGAGACAGACCAAAGAGGAGCGAGTTTTGACGATAATGAGTGACACATCTAGGGTTGTTTAGGGGAAGGATTTGAGGGGCTAGGATGCTGTAAGTTGGGCCAGGTTCAGCACTGCACAGAGCCCTGTGGAGACGGTCCAAGTATAAGAAATGATCTGACTGAGGTTCCCACAGGAGTCCTTGGCCACAGGGATGGAGAGCATGATGGAGAGTCCTGAAGCCTTTTTGGCAAAGTGTGGTAGCGAGTCCCTGGGTGATGGCAAGTGGAGCAGTGGACACTGCAGTATGGCGGGTCTCCTGGTTCTTGTGCTGATAGTGGCACTGAAGCCAACAGAAGGGCGTGCAAAGCTTCAGAGCACTGCCTGGCTCTGTGTAAGTGCTGTGGTGGTTGTTTCCAGACCACGTGAACCAGTGCTGCAGCTGAGCCAAACCACTTGCTCTTCCTACACCCATCCCAACCCCCACACCACAGTCTCCCACCCCTCTGGGGTGCCTCCTTCTCCCTTTCTCCTGGACACCCCTCCTTGCCCTTCAGACTTTGGCTTGGGTGCCACTGTCTATAGTGGTTCCCAAAGCTGTGCTGAATATGTCCTAGGTCTCCCCAAAGCACAGCTCCTTCACAGCTCGTATCATGCTCCTCTGAATTACACGTATTTTTTTGTCTCAACTTTGGACTGAAAGCCCCTAAAAGAATAATTGTATTATAGATGAAGTTGGTGCCCAATAAAGACGTATTGAAAAAAGGGAGTGATTGGCTGAATTTCTGTTTGGTGAGGAGGAAAACGGGTACTGAAGAGAGGCCTAAAATTTTAAAAATTTGTTCAAGGTTAGCTGACCTATAGAAGTCCATTGTTGATTCCACTACTGAATACCCAGTAGGTGCTCGGTGCTCAGATGAGTTATTATGTTATGTGATATGCCTGGAAAAACAATTTACATGAAGACAGTCTCCCCTTTCTCACCTAAGGTTAGATTTTACTATTAGATATTATTTTATTTGTATTGCCATCATCTTCTCTTTTCAAAACATATCCCTGAGTTGGGGATAATGTGATATCATTCAAATGATAATGTGACTTTCATGTATTTGTGTTGATTAGCTGATTATATGCCTTCCTCCCAGGGATGGAGAAAAAGGGTAAGAAGGTAGTCAGTCCCAGGTAACAACAGGTCTGCACAAGGCACTGGATATCTGAAAATAGGCAGAAGGGAGGTAACAAGATGGAAAGGAGGATTACAAAAAAGGAAACCTGGGATGGTGTCCAGCTTTTGCTTATACCAGAATCACATTGATGAAAAGCTTAATTTCTTCCATGTAGAATGACTAAGTCCTCCGACAGGCGGGTAAATATTGACTGGGTGTGTCTGAGAGGCAGAGAAGAGGAGAGAAGGAGATCTGGGTACAGTGAGGAGACAGTTTGGGGAAAGAAAAGGTAGGCGTGCTGCTGTGAAGGCCAAGAAAAGCAGAGGAGCATACCTATCCCCAAGGGTGTTGCATTTATACTCCTGTGGGCTGGGGCCCGCTCAGCCACACTGACTGCAATCCACCTCCAAGGAGCTTTTATTTGCAGATCTGCAGTCACAGCCACAGATGACAGAAGGGGCAATGAGAGAAGTCATTCACGCTTTGCCAGGAGCTTGAGGCCATGCCAAGCAGGGGGATTAAAATGTAAGAGTGAGGCCGGAAGCTGTGGCCTGGGGTGTTTCGAAGAGATAAAAACATGAGATATTCACGTGGAATAATCCTGTCTGAATGCCACTTCGAGATGCACTGTTTAAGCTTGGATATGCTGACCCTGGTTCTCCTCTCTGTCCTTCCCTCAACATCGTAAGACCTTTGCAGGGTCCATGATACCACATTAGTGACTATAATTGTAAAGAATAACTTTCAGGAATCAAAAGGCAGCTTTCACAAGCAACACGTGAATACTTGCAGATTGTAGCCCAAGGGCCAGAGCCAATAGAAATAACGTTGCCAAGCTGTTTATATTACTTCATTTTCATGCTGCAGCGAAGATCACTGCTTTGCATTATGCCTTTTGGGAAAACATACTTGACTCTGGGCCTTCTCTTCAACACTGACTTTGTGACATTTTGTGACATTTCTGTTACTCAGCACAGGTCAAGGCTGAAAGAATAACTGACC